CTGTCTCTGTGGGCTCCGTGGCTGCCCCCAGTCTTGTGGGAGCATTTCCATGTGTGGCAGCAGAGGCACCGTGCGGGGCAGCTGGCTCGTGTTAAAGCCCGGGGCGCTGGGACCCGCTCTCTGCAGGCCAGCTGGAGGTGATCCTGGACCGGCGCCTCATGCAGGATGACAACCGGGGCCTGGGCCAAGGGCTGAAGGACAACAAGCGGACCTGCAACCGATTCCGCCTCCTCCTGGAGCGTCGCGCCACTGCCAACAAGGTGTGTGAGCTGTGAGGCCGCAGGACGGGGGCTGGGCACGGTGCCACTCGCTCAGAGAGCCCAGCCCTGTCTTGGGACAGAGCAGGGTGGAGGCGTCTGCAGAAAGCCGTGCATGCGATTGGGTGCAGGGTCTCCTCCCATGCTGTCCCATAGCCCCCCCGAGCTGTCGCGCTGGCCCTGCACTGGCCATACCTGGAGCAGGGGTGTGTGGTGAGGGTGGGACCGTGGACCGGGGTCTGTCCCACAGATGGGGTGCAGAGCCACGCCACCCTCGTAATCACAGTGTTCTTGTCCCGTCCCCTCGCTGCTCTCTATGCATGCGCCATGTCACCCATTCAGAGTTCCAGCTTCTTTTCCAAACTGGCCTCCATGTTTAAAGCCTTGGGCTTCCCCGGCGCCAGGACTGGCAGCCCAGAGGTAACGGCCGGCCTGGCCCCACTGTCTCTCCCTGTCTCGTGCACTAGCTGCTAGCGACTAGCCTAGCTGGGCCCCGTAGCAGGCCTGTAGTCTGACCATCCGGGGGGTCAGCTAGCCGGGGTCCATGCAGGCTGCCTGGCTGGCAGCTGCCCTCCCTGTTTGGGTGCTGGGGAGGGGGTCATGACTGGGTGGGCGCAGCTCTGGGTGCCCTGTGCTGGCAGGTGCCTGTTCTCCGAGTGCTGCTGGAAAGGCTGTAAGGAGCGGGAAGCCCCATGGGCCCTGTCCAGGCTCCGCCTGGCCCTGCTGCTCCCCTGGCCTGTGCTGACCCGTGTGCTCTTTGGCCCGTGCAGGACGGCCGCCCGACCAGCTTCCCTTCCCTGCTGAGCCACATCACCTCCATGCAGTCATGCCCGTGGCCCAGGAGAAGCCGGCCCCACCAGCCCTGCGCTCATTCATGCCCCTTTCCACCACCCTCCCCTGCGACTTTCACATCCTTAACCTGCGGATGCTGCAGGCAGAGGTGAGCTGTGCCCAGTGAGAGGGGCGGGCACGGCCCGGGGGCAGCAGGACTCTCGGGGGCATCTCGCACCCAGTGTCCCCAGCATTGCACCTCACACCCTGGCTCCCCAGCAGGATGACTCGCTACCCTCGGCCGAGGCAGCCCTGATCCTGCACCGCAAAGGCTTTGACTGCAGCCTGGAGGCCAAGAATCTGGGGTTTAACTGCACCACCAGCCAGGGCAAGGTAAGACCGGGCTGCGACCTCCAGCCACCGCTGGGTCAGAGCCAGGCTGGGGCCCCGGCACGTCTGGCACCACACCTGACTCCTGTGCTCGTGCCAAGCCAGGATGGAGGCTGGAGGGGGCCCCCATGTCCCCCAGCACCAGCGTCCCAGAACTGGTGGCTGGTCAAGAGTCCCACGGTGCAGCATGCAGCCCTGCTCTGCCCCTTGCCCAGGCAAAGCTGGAGGATGTTGGTTTTTCACGAAGCGGGTCTGGAGCCTTCCACGAGCCTTGCATTCCCCAGCGAGGAAGGGCAGAGCCTGGGCTGGGCTGGGTCAGCATGGTGCCCTGGGTGCCGTGGGGGGCCTGCGAACTGGCTGCTGGCACAG